TTAAAACTCTCACCATCCAGTGGTTTCTCCTCTGAATCTTCTTGCATTGTCTCACTTGTGAGCTTTAGGAATACACCTCATATCCAAACCATAACAGGGCCTAAAGCATCCATTCCCTTTAGCTCATATATTCTATTTGTGAGAGCTTTTCGGGCTTTCTTACTCTTTTATTTTTTAAATCCCTTTCAGTAAACTTGAGTATCTGCCATTCCATCTCTTGCCCAACTAAAAGTTTGAAAAATAAGAAAAAGTAGCAATCCTCTTAAAAGCTTTCCCTGTTACAGCAAGGAAAGACAGCTGGCAGAGAAGGAAGACAGAACCACTATAAAAATAAGATATGCAAGAAGGCAAAATTCATAGCCATGACAGTGATTATATCCAGAAGCCCCTCCAGCCACCCTGCCACTCCCTTGAGCCACATCATATTCTCTTTGGTGGTTCCAACTCCTTCCTGTGCTTTTCCTGCCTAGATCTTCTTTCACTGGAATAGATTTCTGCAGCATGGTTAGACTTACCTTCTTAAAAGCAATCAGAGGCCATGCTTACTTTAATGGCTCCATCACACTACTTCTGCCTTCAAGACACCATTTTAAAATGTACCTGGTATTTTGCTTTTATTCAGATAATGGTAGAGACAACAGATGAGGAAACAGTTTCATTGCAAACATTGTTTGTTACTCATAGTTGCCAAGATGATGAGGCCACACAATATGGGGATGGACCAGGGTTGGTCGAAGCAACAAGGGGGAAATATGGTCAGGAGCATCTGCTTTGGAATAGGTGTGGCAGGGTCAGAAGGATTAGGATTGAATAGTTTGAATACTTTCCACATCCTATGGGTTACTCATAACATCCCCAGTTATCTGTCCCCAGTTATCTGGTAAAGGGATATGGGTGGGGATATGGACTCAGAATTGTTATTTTGCAAATCAAAGGCATGCTCCCAAGCAAGATGCTTACTATCCCAAGGACTTTGCTAACCTTGGGAGGAACACTGTCCACAAAGCTCAAGATGTCAATGCATCATAAAATACCGAAAATAAAAATGGTGATTAATAAAGACACAATCCACATTCTTCTGTTAGGATCCGAAGCCATTCACACTTAGCCTCTGCACTTCTTTCCCAGTCTCATCTCCAGTTCCTCCGACTACAGCCCTGTCTTCCACTGACCACCCACCTCCCAAGTCCTTCCTGCTCCTCTGCTCTTCCAGTTTTTCCAGTAGGGGTTCCAAGTGTYAGAAATTCTTTTCCTCACCCTCCTCACCCAGTGGACTCATCTGGAACCTTTAGAAAACCTGCTCACATTTTCTGATCCCTTTGTCACATGTACATGTTCTTTCCTCTCATCCCCACTCTGTTTGATTTACTAGATTGTATATCATTTATCTATCGACCTGTTTGTTTCTACCACCACAATAGGAGCCCTATAAATAAAGACTTTCTTACCTGTCCTTGGTGAGCACACACATGAGACAGGAGACATTCTGGGCACATATCTAGTGATTACTGGGTGAATGCATGGCCAACTCGAGCCCTATTGAGTACAGGCAAGCACAGACGGGAACTTAAATAACTTCCAACAATATAATCATGTTAAGGCGAAAATGTTTGGCTTTACATTAGGACTTAAAAACTCTAACTCTGATAAAAATAGGATTTACTTGTAAAGCCAAAACTCATCCTTGCTCTCAGGAGTCTGATTGGTTGGGATTTTGAAAAGCTGATTGTTTTGGAATGAAGCCCTAGGTTCCTCCCCCATCTCATGGTTTAACTAAAATGTACATGCCAGGCTTAAAGAGAAGGAGCAAAAAAAAAAAATGGTTTCTTTTAAGTATATGTTGAATCTGCCACAGCCAACGCTTTGCCTCATTCAAATTGTGAAGTAAAAGAAGCTTAGCTTTTGGATCGATGAAGAGCTCTAGGGATTACYCCTCAGAAAGGAGGGAACTTTGGATGGCAGAAGGCTCTTCCTATCACTGCTGAAAACACATGGTGCTGAGAATTTCACCTTGAATTATTGAACAAAAAGTGACCAACTGTAAGTTTAATCCCCCTAACCTCTTCCCAAGATGTGTTGGTAGAATGTGGGAGTGGGGAGGAGGAACATTGTCTGTGTTTGCACAAGCTCGGGTCCATTTTCAATCCAGTTTATATCAAGTTCTCCCCCATGAGAGTTCTGTAAGTCCCCCTTCACCTAAGGATTAAATGCTGACCTTGTTCATTTCTATAAAAATATCAGCCTTATACATATATGCATCTGTGCATACATGCATGTACATATGTATTGTTATGTAGAGTGTGTGTGTGTGTGTGTGTGTGTGTGTAAAGAGAGACAAAAAAAATCAGAGCCTTGTATAGAGACATCTCTTTAGGTTCTAAATCTATTCAAAATAGTTTAAAATATTTCCAAACCCACCTGCTCTTCTACATTACCCTCAAAATATGTAATTTTAGATATCAGAAATACTTTAGAAATTTGAAAATATTCCAAGCGATATAGTCCATAGAGTTTGCTTTTCATGATTTGACTGTAATACATAACTGACAGCCCATGGAGATGTAGAAACTTCTATCAGTGCAAAGGACCTTAGCAAAGTGAAGACCCAGGCTGTGGTGGGAGTGCATGCTGAGGATTATGGCCTTTGTCACCCCACCTCCCGTCCTCCAATGTCAGACCCTTCCCAACTAGTGAAGGCTCTACTTGGGATGACAGCACACTTCAATAGAGAGAAAATGGCTAATTGCTTTTATGGTTSTTCTTTCCCCCCAAGAATTTCTAAGAATAGTGATTTGTGAGAACAAAAGAAAATAATTACGTGCTAGAATAGATTTAATTTATTGAGCATAGAATTATTTCTGACATTGATTGTGTGACTCCAAAAGAGTCCAGAGCTGAAAAATATGTGCTCATTACTTTGCATGATGTTTATATRTGAGAAAGGCATCACCTGGGGCAGAGGTGACAAACTGAAAGCTTGCCCTCTTTTTCTCTTTCCCTGGGGAGTTCTTGTCGGCTTCATCCCACTTCACCATGAGCTCTTCACAAAAGCCGGCATCTTTATTTGGCTTCTCATTATACACCTCTCTCAGCTCAAATCCAAAACACTGTTTTTAGTTTCACCTGAAAAGAATTTCAGAGTTACAGGAAAAAAAAATAAAATACAAATAAAACAGCATGAAGAATACCCAYCTACCATTTACCCAGATGCACCTGGTGTTAATATTTTACCCCTTTTATCACTTGCTTTATCTATCATCTATTATCTACCTAATTTGAGGGTAAGTTGCCTACATAAACTCCTCTAGTGTGTTCCCTAGTAATAACAATATCCACTTATGCAATCACACCACAATTATCAACTTCAGTAAATTTGACACTGATAAAGGACATTCATCTAAATTGCTGTTTGTTTTAATTTTACCAGTTGACCCAATAATGTCTTTATAGCTTTGTCCCTCTCCAGTTGAGGATCCAGGCTGGAGTCAGGTACTGGATTTAGCTGTCACATCTCTTAGCCTCCCTTTATCCATAACACTCTCATAGTCTTTCTTTGATTTTTATGACATTGTCATTTTTAAGGAACACAATATCCTTTTTTGTTCAATACAATCAATCTCTCTCATTCTGTATGTCTGATGTTTCTTCATGATTATATTAAAGTCGTGCATTCTGAAAGTGCTACATAGATGATATATGTTCCTCTCCAGTATGCCCATCTGTCTCTCATAAGGGATGTTCATTTTTAATCAACCAGTCAAGAAGTTTCCCAWTTTTTTCCAGAGCACAATCATTGGTTTTTCTTTCTCCCTTTTTTCCTTCTTGCATATCCATTAAGCAGTCCACAGGGAGACACTGTGAGACCATGAGCATATCCTGCCCTCATCAAAATTTGGTATCCAATGCTGGTTGCAATATGACTTTTTTTCAGAAAAAACTTAAATGGGTGGCCCTCTGCAGTTTATGGAACTCTTCTTCACTRTCTATCATTTATCTCTATCTATATTGGCTATTAAATTCATATTTTTAAATAGCTTATAGTGCTCAAATTGTCCCGTTTGGGGCCTATAGTATCCCCTTCAAGTTAGTTCACATATCCACCATTATTTTTCCAACACTTCTTACTTTCTGGCATACAAGAGAGTCCAAGTTCATTTTGTCCCCATTTTGCTGAGCCACTGAATCAATTCTCCACTGSACCCATTTCATTCAAAAGGAAATCGTATTAGAGACCAAGGTCTGAGCCCTGGGTGTGCTCATTGCTACTAGGATGCCTTTACTTCTTAGTTCTTTCAACAGAGATGACAGGAAGAAAGGAGCTGCATGTTTTTACACACATATATGCACACACATGCAAGTATGCATGCATGTGTGTATATGCATGTGCACCTAAACTTCACATATTTTAGGAATCTTGAGTTCACATCAAGACCCTCAATTCCAATCCATCTCCATTCCATATTGTTGTGTCTTATCTACTGTGGAGAACCCTGGCTCCCAATAGGATTGACACATCCTATTTGCTCAGTCCTATATTACATCTAAAATAGTCCTTCATTTTTAAAATTTTTATTAAATTAAACAAATCTACTCAAAAGTTCAGAATGTTTATACACTGCACACACACACCATCACCATGCCAAAATTTGACTAGTATATAGTCAAATCTTGTGACCTTTAGTTACTTGGACAAGGGATTTGTTTCTTAAATTTCTTCTTTTTTTTTCTTCAAACTGTTAAGGTATTCACTAAAATATAATTACGTTTACTTGTTTCTGTTTTTATTTTTYAATTTTTACATTTAGTTTTCATGCTTATTGGTTTCATTTTATTTTTTGAATATGTAGTCTATTTATAGCTTTTAAAAAGTCAAAATGCTACAAAAGTTATATTCAGAAAAAAATGTCACTTTCTCCTTCTAGCCCATGCCCCTCTCTGTTGATTTTCTTTAAGTTACAAATTTAATTTGGTATTTTTCGTTTTTCTTTATGCTCTTCATACTTCTTCTAAATAAAACCTCTTATTTAAGCCTTTTTTATTTGGGATGCAGAGTTAAAAGAAGAGTCCTTGCGTCCTTCAGTTTCCTTGAATCTCTCAGCCCGTACAGTTTCTCCAAGACAAGGTATGTGTTTTTTCCTGTAACAAAGAGAAGTGAGTTTGGCACATCTTTAGCACCTGGGGCCAAGAGGTCAGGAGACATACATGGCTGATCCAGCCACTCTGATACTGTGCCCATGTCTTAGGAAAAGAGTTTTACCAGCAGCAAAAAAAATAGAAACAGTGGATTACTACAGAGCTGAGACTTTGGGAACCAAGATCTAGGAAGAATATCACCCACCAAATACTTAACACTGTGGAAATGAGAGCAGTCCTCCTTCTGGCCCAATCCCCAGATTCAGCAGCAATCTTAAAATCTTCAGGCCCTATCTGGAGGGAACTGGGATGGCACCAGACTCTTGAGCCACCAGAATTAAGTTGTGTTCCAGCATGATGACAYGAACAACCAGACCACCCGTAACATTAGTGTCATGTTGTACATGGCCAGCAAACTGCATTTCCCTCCACAGAGGTGATACAACCAGAGGGGACTTCTAGACCTGAGTAAACTCCCCTGGATGGCTTGTCTGCACCCAGTAGGAAAGATTATAAGAACAGAGAACAATATTCCCATAAGACATTGGAGTGARGCAATTTTGAATTATTTGACACTGAAAAGAATGTGATCTCATTGTGTACCCAAGTCAGCGGGTGTCATGCCAGACGAGAAAACAGGTTCAGGAAAACTAAACAGTTTGGTATGCATCACACATAAAACGGTAGACCTACATTAAGAACCRAAAGTTTCTAAATACAAATGCCATCCTTTGAGAACAATAGAGAGGAATTCAGGGACAGACTCCCTACTTGTGTCCCTAGACAACTGCCATCTCCTCTCTATACCTTACTTTTCCCATCTGTCGAATGAAAGGGATGGATAGAGTCACCTCTAAACTCTCAAGTTCCAAAATGAAAAGTTGACTTCTGTGTGTGTTTGTGTGTGTGTGTGTGTGTGTGAACACATGTGCATCAGCGTTTATGTGCATTTTATATACATGTTTGTGCACATATTTGTGCACAGAAGAGAGCTAGTCATTTCCCAAGGTCAGAGGCCTTCAGCAAAAAAAAAAAAAAATGAAACAACTGAGATTATAATAGTTCAGGGAAGACATGTGAGAAGTTGGTTGGGGTGTGCATATTGAGTCCCTGCTGGTCCCTAACATCATGAAAAGTAGAGGGATAGAGCCACTGAGAGGAGCTGGGAGTGTATTAAGTGAGGGCCCATGGGATCCACAGTGGGCCCAGGACAACACAAACATGAAGGGAGGGGAATGGACCAGGGTTGCTGAAAACCCACTGGGATCTCCCTYTGGCTGGAAGCTTTTAAATAAACTTCCTCATTTAATTTTAACACCAACTTTCTGAAGTACATGGTAATATCCATTTTTATTACACATAAGCAGCTTTAGCCTCCAAGAGGTGTGAGCCTTGTCTATGACAGGCTATTGGGTAAGGACAGAGGCCGGATGCCAAAGCAGCCAAACTGCTCAACTCCAAACATCATATGCCACCCCACGCTTTAGCACCAGAGAGAGGACAGGGTGGGTAGGCAGCTGAGAAGTTGCCAGGCAGTGTGCTATGTCCTGTCTGGGCTTCTAGACCCTTCTATGTAGAAAGGGTGCCTGGCTTTCATCTTAGTTTGCCTTCCTTTCTCTACCCACTTTCTTGGGGAGTAAAATATGACATTTGGTTAATTAAGTTTTCAGATCTACAAGACCAGTGTAGGAAAGACTGTAAATTAAACAATTCTCATTTCCATAACACTGCAGTCCAAAGGGTATGGCTTTATGATCCATCCCCAAAGCAATGATGCGTGGCTTTTATTAAACAAAGGCTCGGATCCAGAAGCCCTTGCCCCTGCTTTGTGAGGGAGTTAGGCAAGTGAAACAGAAAAGTAATTGGATGTGTTTATCTCCTGATTCTTTTTTTTTTAAGTCTGAATCCACTCAACAGGGCCTTCAAAGACTATTCCCTAAGACAGGTCTACTGTAGGCCAAAAAAAAAAAAAAAGTTAAAAACAATAAAGGGCATTTATTATGCAATCTCTGCCTCTTTCCAAGATTTCAAGTGACTTCCCACAGCACTCACAACCTGACAGGATGGAAATCAAGGAAGCAGTTGGGGAGGATACTGCAGCAGAGGACAGGGAGGGTGGGCTTTGGGGGCAACGGTTAAAAAAAAAAAGGTACACCCAGCGCCCAAGTACAGAGGAAGTTTGAATTGATGGTAGTTCAAAGAACTAGGGGCCAAGGTGAGAGTTTAATATATTCATATGTATTTTGAATTTCAAGGAAGGGTACAGCATAAAACACTTCTTATGTCCATTAGATGATAGAATCATTCTTTTTCCTTCAGCTATCTATAAATGGAAACTGTGGCTTAAATACCCTATAATTTACGAGTTTAAACCTTGGATATCTACACCCTAAGCGCATGTCTCCWTTTATTGTTCCTTGTGAAATGTGTTTCACAGTAGATTCCATATTTTCTGGTAAATGTGTGTGTACATTGCTCTCTCCCCCAAGACCTGCTCTTTCCAATATGGTGCCCCCAAGTAAACTGCTTACAAAACAGCAATGAGTAACTCCCAGATCATGAGCACATTTCTCATACTCATAATTGTAGGCTTTCTGACACTCACATCTCTCAAAGAAAGAAGCTTTTGCTTTGTGGAATAACCTATTCCTCAAATAATGTTCTACTTCATTATGCTTTCCCTCCTCCACCCCTATCTCCAAGGTCCTTCTCTCTTTTTTCCCTGCCTGACACTGATTTTCTGAATAGCCAGGCAAGTCTCAGTAATGTCTGAAATGAAGATAACAGCACATGTCAGACTACCTCCGGGCACTGTGAAAGTTAAGTGAGATAATGAAAGCAAAGAGCTATGTAAACTGCCAAGTGTGAATAAAGTGTGAAGTGCTATTCTTATAAAATTGGATGGAATGAAACAAGACATCTTGATACTTCTTTTCTGAATTTCTGAGCCTTCTGGCTTCTTCAGAAGACGTTAACACCCATGTGAGTATGCCTTGAGATAAACCATACATGCAGTATGACATTTTTTACCCTTCAAACTGATACTCAGCATCTCATTTTTCCTCCTTCCTAGTTGACATATGCTTTAGAGAAGAGAACGGAAGGTTAATCCTCTGATAATGAGTGAACTTTCTTCTCCTACTGTCCCAAAACATCTCACTGCCCTCATCATTATGCAATTATAATGAGCTAACACACAGTTACATATTACTTTAATTAGCTATAAATATTTAGTATTTGAAATTTAATATATTGGTTTTTCCTCCAAAATATTCATTGCTTATATGGATCTTAGTACAGTGTTTAACTTGAGGCCAAATAGAACGGTGATTAAATGCTGGGCTTTTGACTTGATGGACTTTTGTTGTTGACTATAAAACTGGCCATATTTCATCTCCTCCCATCAAGAAGTGGGCTGCAATTCTCTACCTTTTGAATATAGGTTGGCCACATGAGCCAATGGAGCATCAGTCATTATGATAAAAGCAGGGACTTGAAGGATAATTTCCCAGTGCTGTTTGTCCTCCTTAGCCACCGCCATGTAAAGAAGCCTAAGGAAATCTGCTGTAACTTGATAGATGTGTTGCCCTGTGACCCATTGTTCCAGACAACTGCTAGACCTCGAGGCCATCCCAGACTAGCCAGTCACTGATCAATCCACCAGCTGACCACAAATACCTGAGAAAAACAAAAAACAAATAAACAAAAAACTGCCCAAGTAAACAGCAGAATGCATGAGTTAAATAAATGGTTATTGTTTCAATCCATTGATGTTTGGAGTGATTTGTAGTACAGCAAAAGAGACTTGATACAGAAGCATTTATCTGGAAGTGGGTGACACTGGATCAAACCCTCAGGCATGACACTGATTTATGACTGGGTAATGATGGCATCTGGAAAAGCAGTGGAGAGAGAGCTAAAGGGTCTGCATCTTTGACAGTTATCAAACTCTAAAGGAAGGGCTGCAGCAGATAGAGGGAGAGGTGTTTGCAAAGCTGTTGAGTGGAATAATTTGAGGAACACAATATGCACCTTATAACTTTTTGATCAGAATCAGATGATTCTGATAAAATCATCTCCAAACAGAAAGTTCTAGATTCATTTGGGTACAGCTCTGTGTGGAAAGTATTTCAAGAGAGGGAAGCTAAGAAAAGAAATATTCAGTCTGCAGACTGAAGTTGGAGGATATGTAGAGGGATTCACATTACTTGCAAAGTTATGRAAGATTTAAGGTAGTACTTAGAAGATCCTTTCAGCTAAAAAAAATTTTTTTWAAAGACTCCTAAAATTCTTAAATGCATGTTGTCATAGAAACCAAATCCCAAAATAATTTTAAGATTACAAAGGGAAGCATGTCTCAAACAATTGGCATGTAGTTTTCATCAAGTAAATTGGAATACCATCTGATGAATAGAAAATCCATACAATTTTTAAGGGATTTGTAATAGCAAAAGGTCCACAAACTCAGAAAAAAAATTGAAATTGCTCAAAATGCTAAAGGATTCCTGACCCTCACATTATTTTTAATCTAAAGAATCTTTTCTTTTTTTCCCCATCAATCATGTTCAAAGGTTTTCTTTTCACTCTTGCCTCTGCTATTTTCTTTGTTGTATAGAAGCTCGTGAATTTGATCTAATTGTCTACTTTTGCTTCTGCTTCCTGTGTTTCTAGGATCAGACCCCCTAAAAATATTACCCAAACCAAAATAAGAAAGATTTTCTCTGTTTTTTTTCAATAGTTTTAGAGTTTCAAGTCTTATGTTTAAGTCTTTAATCCATTAAAGGATATCTTTGTATATGGTATAAGAATTTGATGTCATTCTTCTGCACTCGGATGTCCAATTTTCTCAGCACTATTTATCCTCTCCATGTGCTCTTGGCACATTGTTGAAGGTCAGTCAACCATAAATGTATGAATTATTTCTGAGCTTTTTACTTTGTTCCATTGGTCTATATGGCTTTATGCTACTATGTACTATTAAAGTCACTGCATATTTGTAATATATTTTGAAATCATGAAATATGATACCTCCAGCTCTGTGTTTTTTCTTTTAAGAATGCTTTGGTTATTTGGGATGTTTTTGTGATTTCATGGAAATTGTAGGATTTTTTAAATTTCTGTAAAAATTGCCACTGAAATTTTGATAGGGATTACAATAGTAAATCACTCTGCATAATGTGGACAATTGAATGATATTTTTTCCAATTCATAAACATGGATGCCTTTTAATTTATGTCTTCTATAAATCCTTTTATCAATATTTTACAGTATTCAGTGTACAAATCTTTCAATTCCTAGGTTAAATTTACTTTGTAAGTTTTTATTCATTTGTGATGTTACTGTAAATGGAATACATTTCCTAATTTCTTCTTTTTTTGGATATTTCACTGTTGGTACATTGACATAAATTAGTTTTTAATGTTAATTTTGTATCATGCCACTTTACTAAGTGTGTTCATTAGTTCTAACATTTTTTGGTGGAGATTTTAGGGTTTTCTACATATGATATAATGCAATCCATAAACAAGACACATATGGGATGAAATTAAAGGAACCTAAAAAGATATTCCATGCAACTGGCAATCAAAGAAAACAAGAGTGGCTAGATTTATCCCAGGCAAAAGTAAAAAACAATAAAAGAGCAGAAATAAATGAAATGGAGACTAGAAAAACAATTTTAAGAAGATCAATGAAATTGAGTTTTTTTTAAAGATAAACAAAATTGACTAACCTTTATCTAGACTAATAAAAAACTAAGAAAAGGAAAATAAAATTATAAATGAAAGAGGAGATTTTATAACTACAATCACAGAAATTCAAGTAATTTTAAAATACTATTATGAATAATTTTATGTCAATAAATTATACAATCTAGAATAAATAAATTAATCTCTAGACACATGCAATCTACCAAGAAAAAAAAAAAAAGCTTACTAGATAAGGACATTGAAGCAGTGACTAAGGATTTCCCAACAAAGAAAAACTCAGGATCAGGTGGCTTCACTGATAAATTCAACCAAACATTTAAAGAACTAAAACCAATTCTGTCAAACTTTTTCAAAATATTGAAGAGAAGGGAATACTTATAAACTCATCCATAAGGCCAACCATACCCTGATATCAAAGTCAGGCAAGGATATTACAAGAAAAGAAAATCATAGGTCAGTATCCCTGATGAACATACATGTGAAAAACTTCGACAAAGCACTAGAAAACCAATTTCAACAGTTCACTGAAAGAATCACACATCAGATCAAATGGTTATTTAGCCCAGGAAGCAAGGATGTTTCAAGATAAGCAAATTAATGAATATGATATACAATACTGACAGAATAAAGAATAAAAATTACATAAAGAAAATCGTGCAATCATCTAAATAGACACAGAAAAGCCATTTGATAAAATTAAACATAGAAAAAATGTACCTCCATATAATAAAATCCTTATAGGACAAGTACATAGCTAACATTATACTTAATAATGTGAAACTAAAAGCTTTTTCTTTAAGATCAAGAACAAGGATTACCTGCTCTCACTACTTCTATTAATCATAGTACTAGAAGTCCTAGTCAGAACAATTAAGCGAGGAAAAAAAAATGGAAAAAAGTAAAATTGTTTTTTAATTTTGTACAAGCAGAAATTGGACTTAGAAAGTTACTCGGCTTTGATAGAGGCTACTTTTTATAGTAAAGAAAGGATTTATAAGAAGTAAAAGCTAGGAGCCAGAGTAGAAATCTTCTCAAATAATCAGGCTTTACTTTAGACCAAAACAGCTCAGTAAATCTACAGAACTTTGAGGTAAATTTAAAATACTACATTTTGAAGCAATTTTTTTATTGCAAAAACTGATTGATATAGTTTTGAATTTACCTCCTTAATTTCCTGAGATAACCTCCACAACTTGTGTAATTTTAGACAATAATTAATTAGCTCTTTATGATCTTTATTTTCATAAATTAAAAATAAGATTCATCACGTATACCTCATGGGCTTATTGAATGTTAATGAGATAACATTTGCCATAGGCTCTGCTAAAAACCATGGTTTTTATAAAAATTAAAATTATTATTATTTCATAAACCTCAATTTTCTCATCTGTTCACGGTGATAACTATCACCAACCACCTCTTAGTTTTGCTTTGAAAATTGAATGATCTAAGAGAAATAAAACTGACACATTCAAATAGTTAGGCACCAGAAAATTATATCATCACCAAGTGTGTGGTTGTGATTTTAATTACTGTTAAATTCCCTAACATGGAAAAAAAATTCTTTCTTTAGAAAGGAAAAAAATCTCTACATTCAGATATAGTCTTCCAATTTGAATGAGCAATTGCATACTTATATTAAGAACGTCCTTTGACATTGTATCATATAATTCCAATGATCCCTGACTCAGCTCTCTGAAGGCTAAAGTGGTCTCAGGTTTCTGTTCTGTCCTCCTGTGAACCCCCTTCTCACTTTTCTTCAACATATTGCTATCCCCTGGAAGTATCTCCATATCCTTCTCCATTGATCTTTGGCAACTTCCAACTATTCCCCTTGCAAACCAATAACCTCCTTCTCCAATCACCAACAACCTCATCAAGAAGCAGTGTTCAAGTGCATGAGTCTTCAAATATAAGAGAATTCATAGGGGGTATAGAGCAAATACCTCAGTAGGTAGATAGCAACCAAGAAGGGATAGGGAGTGAGCTCTTCAGGGCAGCCTGGGAAAACAGACATTCATGCACATGCAGCAATGCCCACAGAAATAATTTAGTGGCTACATATTCCACACGAGATGCACCAAGGAAAGAATAGACATCTTCAGAGCACAGTGATCTGTGAGGGCTTCCTGGAGGAGAAAATGAGCAGGACTTGAAGGACTAATATTATTGAAATGCACATCCACCACACTCATTCAAAATTTTTTAATGAGCATTGGCAATGACCCCAATGTTATGCTACACAATGAGGGAAATAATATAATAATGATGCCTTGTCTTTGTGTTACACTTTGAAATTCATAATCCAGCCAAGAAGGACAATATGAACCTCAGGGAAGGAAAGAAAAGTGGTAAGTGGGAACTAGAATTGGTAGAATACCTGTACGTTCCTAGGGCTGTACTGACATTTTATATTTGTGTTTTCATGGAAATCGGTCTCTGAGGTCAGATCAAATACCAATTGAATTCAGAATTGAGAAAAAGAAAGAGAAAGAGAGAGACCAATCAGAAAGAAGAGAGCAGGGCCATTTGCTAGAGAAGAAGAGTATATCACTCACCCAAAGAGCATCTCCCTCCCAGGGGAGAGCTGTCATTACGACGAGTTGGTACCTGGAGCACTTCTTCCAGTCCAAAGGTATTCTTTCCTATAATCACCAATTAGCACCTGTCACAGTCGTTTTCCTGGGCAGTTGATGAGGATTGAGATGCCTGCAGTTTGGAGATTTCAATAAAGCCCTCTGGTTAATAACGGCGATATTCAGAGCAGAACTAATAGTTCACACTCGGAATGGATTCCCTCTTTCATATGACCAGATTCTCTGAGGACCTGCACAGTTTGATTTTCCTGTGCCCAGGCACTTTAACAAGCTATTGTTAGCCAGTAATAACTTTTGGAGCCCCCCTGGCCAGAGAGCAGAACAGTTCATCACTGAACAATCCAGCTGATTTATTTTATTATTAGGGAAGTTTGTAAAAGGACTATTCATTCTCCCCTGGCTCTTAGGTGATTCTCACAGTCTGCCATCCTTCTCACTACTTGCCACATTGAGTGACTCTCATTTCTGCAAAAGTTACACCATGCAAAGTCTCATCCGGGACCCAGACTGAACAGATACTAGCCAAACTGTGAACCGTGTGCAGCGTCCTTGGTTTTCCAACCATAAATTAGAGTGTGAATGTGGGGAGATGCCCCCAGGTGACACTGTCCCTCCTCCTTCTTTGTAGTCATATACTGTTGCCCTCATATCACACCAATTTGTTTTCCTGTGACTCTCCTCCATGCAACAGTGCATCCTTTGATGCCAAAGACTCTGTGTGATTTTATTTTGGCCCAAACCCAAACCAGAGCCTGACCCTGGGTAATGATGACTGAAGCAAGCATGTGCTCACTTGCTTGCCCAACATCTGTTGTCTGTTTTCCTGAAAACAGACCTCAATTTTATTGGACAGAATCAGCCTTTTCCTGTTCTTGGATGTGGTTAAACTTTCTCCCAGACAGCAGAGAGGGAATGAGAACAGGAGTTGCCTCTCCAGGGCACAGTGATTGGTCAGGATTGGGCACATTACCCAACTACTGGAAAAAAAAATTCTCTTTCTGTAAAGGCTTCTAACTTTATMCAATACAAAACTGAAGTACAGGAGAACATTCTTGTTTTCATTTACAGAAACTTTGTATAAACAAAATTCTTAAGGAAAAAATTATTTTTTTGGAGGGGGGTGTGTACCAGGGATTAAACTCAGGAGCGCTTGACCACTGAGCCATATCCGCAGCCTTATTTTTGTAATTTATTTAGACACAGGGTCTCAATGAGTTTCTTAGGGCCTTGCTTTAAGGGAGGCTGGCCTTGAACTCACAATCCTCCTCCCTTAGCCTCCCAAGTGGCTGAGATCACAAGCATGCACCACCAAGCCTGGCTGAGAAAAAGTCTTAATGATACTGTTTCTTCCCCTTGATCCACTCCTGCCTTAAGCCATTACCTTTTAGATATACTTGACATCCATTCCTTGGCAGCATTGTTCTCTTATACATTGCTACATAATAAGCCATCCTAAAATTCAGTGGCATTAGAAAGTCAATCTGTTTTATTCTGAAAATAACTGAATTAACTGAGAACTGTGCAAACAGGAAAGAAGTAAATTAAACTGGTTAGATCTTACACAAAGCAGTGGGTAACACAGAGTAATGGTTAACAAAGGTGTCAAATCTCCAAGTTACTGACTTATTTAGCTGAAGAAGAAAAACTCTCATTTCATTTATGTTGCTTCTGGGAAGAAAGCGCCCTGTGCACCTGCCTTGTGGATCCTTTCCTGGTCCCTCTGTGTGGCCTTCTCACAGAGATGMAATGCTCAGTGGTTTTCTGTCTCTCCACTCCACACTGAAACCTGTGCTCTGGAAAGCATCTGAAGCCTTGGTCTGTCAGTCCTGCTCAGCACCTGCMTCTGGAACCACAAATCTATCACCTCTCCTTCTCTCTGCTCTGGATCCCTTTTCTAGATCTACCTCCAGGATCCATTCATGACATCTCTGCTAAATCTTTTTTTTTTTTTTTTTTGCCAGCACCTAGATCAGGGATCAAGGCAATTCTGACCAGTGGAGAAGTCAGGAACAATTTCCACCAAGCTGGTGCCAGAGTATGGTCCACCTTATCCATGAAAACATGAGATCCAAAGAACTCGAGGACACAGATAGTAGCATCCACCAGGGACAGCAGAGCTTCAATGACCAGGGACCTCACACAGGACTCTTAGCCCAGGAGAGCAGATGACGGTGTCAGGATTTGGCAAAAGGGAAACTGAAGTCTGAGTAGGTTTTAGGGATGAAGAGGAGAGGATCATCCTGAAAAACAGTGGGAAGAGTCAGCATTAGCAGCAGCAGCTTTGGAGTCAAGTTGCCTGGGTTTGAAGACAGGCTCCATTATCTGCTATGTGGCCTTGAGCCACTTAATCTAGCTCTTTGTGGCCTCATTTTCCCAGTCTTTAACTAATTGATGATGCCTATGAATTGTACCTATTGAGGTGGCTGGGGAACTTAAAGAGTCAGCACTTAAAAAAGTTCTGAGACATGAAAGTGCTCAGTGACAGATAGCCATGATCATCCTTATTGTTGTGATTATTTCTCACAGCTCTGCGTCTGGGCTCAGATGTGCCCCAGTGGCATAAGTTGCATCTGAGAGTCAGATGTCTCTCCATATGTTCCTTATTCCACAAATTCTGCTTGTACTTTCTCTCTCTCTCTTTTTCCTTACAACTCACTCCTCTGTCTTAACTCACATTCTGTTCCTGCCAACACAACATGGGATTCCCGCCATCAGACTTGACAAATCACTCGGGGATCCAGTCCACACAGGGAGACCTAATCCAGCCCCCGCCCACCCAGATGGATCTCCCAGAGACTGGAAATCCGTTCAGAAAGGGAAGGAGTCCCATAGGTCTCTGCAGGACGCAGGGGCGTTCTCCTGGAGGAACTTACCATTTCCCCTGCTGTTTCTAGAGAGCATGGAAGAATTTTGGTTTTCAGCATGCAGATATTTCCTGCTCTCATGTTTTCTTGTCATGCACATTAAATGATTTATTCCTCGGACTACAAGAGCAATTTTGTGTACTGAAGGACCCAGTCTAGAACTGGAAGAAGAGGGAGCAACCATGTGAGGATTTAGATAATGCTCATCTCTGAGTGGGTGACCATCAGCACAGATTCTTTGAAGTGCCTATCTTATAGGAATGACATATGTGGCGTGGCATGTGAATATTCTCTGTGTGATAATATACATATGCTCGTAGACAGAAGTGTGTCTATTATCAACAGAAATGCATGTGGACCTGTGATATTAAAATGGCATTGGCTATCTTCCATGCACTTGGGATGTCATGCTGGGACCACAAGGATCACTAATTAGACATGAGAAAACTAAAGTAGGGAGAGAAGGAAGGGGTTAAGGGGGGGAATGAAGAGAGGAAGGGCATGCCAGCCTGAGGCTTGTGCTCAACAGTCACCAGCACCATCTCCCAGTCTCTCAGGTGCTTTGTCATGGGCTATGCCCAGATGCTGCTTCTGGGGAAGGTCCCCTGAGCAGCTGGTCCTAGGAGACATGAATCTGCTTCAGAGGGTCCTGAATGAGTATTCAGTTCTAAATCTTGGTGGCTTCTCCCTGGGCGACCCTAAAGGAGGTGGTTTGAGCCCAATAAATGCATAATCGATCAGCTCTGTCCATGTCACTTTGGAACATTTGGAGATTTCCTAATGCATGCTGCCCTAGATCAGGAATTGAAATACCTCTATATTGGTTTCCTATGGTTGATGGAACTAATTATCACAAACACAGGGACTTAAAACAACACCAATGTATTCTCTGATGTTTCTGGAAGGCAGAAGTGCAAAAAGGGTCCAAGTGGGCTCAAGTCAAGGTGCTGGTGAGCTGTGTTCTTTCTGGAGTCTCTAGGGGATGTTTTCTTGAGTTCTTCAGCTTCTAGATACTGCTCACATTCCTTGGCTTGTGGTCCCTTCCTCCTTCTTAAAGTCAGCAATACTGCAGTTAAGTCTCCCTCTGACTCTGACCTCTGCTTCTATCAATCACACCTCCTTCTCTCATTCTGACCTTCACACCTCCTTGTTTTAAGAATCCCTGTGATTACATGAACCCCACCTGAGTAATCTAGGACAATTTCTGCATCCGAAATTCTTTGATCACATTTGTAAAGTTCCTTTTACTCCACGAGATAAGTAGTTACAAGTCTCAGCGATGAGGGCATAGGTACCTTTCAAAAGCAGTTAGTTGACCCCTACAACCCCTAATAATCAAGAAACCTGTTCAAATGGCTCTAGACTAATGAAATAAAGCCTGTAGCAAACTCAGAGTACCCACCATGTGCTCATTAGGATTAATCCATTTTCTATTCTAGTTTTTAGTTCTCCCATGTACAAATTGCACACTTCCAGGGAAAATGTGTATCCTTATGTGAAATAGAGGAATTCTGTCCCAGTAGAGTTCCCCTCTTACCCCACCTCCCACATGTGCAAGCACGTGTGCTCACATGTGCACGCGCGCACATACACACACACACACACACACACACACACATTCTTTCCTACTTAGACCCTTTTCTTTGATTTCTTCTTAGGTTATTAACTTCATGAAATGCTTCACTCAAAATGTTAGCCCAACAACTGCAAATTGCTATGGGTCATCTGTAAGTCCTTGCAAGCTCTATATTACCTTATTCAATAACAGCCCCAAAGTCTTCAGGAAACAAGAATGGCACACGTATTATAAAAAGGCAGAGAAAAKCACCTGCATTCATCAAATTACAGGTTATATTTCTTGCTGAGACATGCATGATCTTGTTATTGAAGAAAATGCTAAAAGCCTAGAAATGGGAAGTGACTTCAGAAAAATAAAATATTGTGCTTTATTTTGTAGATTTTGTGTATCTTAAATCCACAACTCCTTATATTTTTCAGTACACTTTTTTTTTTACTCTAATGTCTTTTTTCTTTTTCCATTTTGTAGGAGCTAACTAGCTAATTCTACTTTCTCCACAGATCTTGGTTTATTGTTAAAAATAAATGCCTTTCTTTAAAGTAACCTCCCACCTTTTGTGCTGTGCTTCGGAAAAGAAAGAAGAAAGTTGGCTATAAAGGAAGCAATGACTGTGGCTGGCACGAGGTGGGAATGATTTAAAATGCTACCATCCAATTGAGAAGG